CTGGGTGACGTGTGGCTGTCAGCCAGCACCATGGGCACCACGGCCAGTGAGCGGCACGTGGAGGAGGGAGGCGTTGGAGCCGGGCGAGCAGTGGTCCCGGGCTGCAGGAGGGCTGGGCTCCATGGCGCTCCAGCAGGCGCAGGATGGCACCCCAGTGGGTGGCCAGGCAGGTGGGGGTCCAGACATAGCCATTGCCGTGGCAGGGCTCAGCGCCCTGCTCCAGCAGCACCCGCGCCACCTCGGCGTGGCCCTCCTGGGCATCAGTGCCCAGCGCTGTGGCCCCTTGGCTGCAGGCCTGGTTCCTGCGGGTGCCACTGTTCAGCAGCAGCCGGATGGTGTTGGCGTGGCTTTGCCAGGTGGCTGAGTGCAGTGCTGGGCGCTGCTCACTGTCCAGCGTGTCCACCTCTGCCCCGCATCGCAGCAGCAGCCACGTCACCTCCAGCTGCCCCTGCCAGCAGGTGCCATGCAGTGCCGTGCGCCCCTGGGCATCCTGGCCCTGGGGGTTGGCCCTGTGCTGCAGCAGCAGCTCTGCAGCAGGGAGGTGGCCGTCATGGCCCCAGCAGTTGAGAGGCAAGTGGTTCTCCAGCAGCAGGCACAGGCAGGGGCAGGCAGCCTTCGGCATCGGGCTGGGCAACACGGGCCCCATGCTCTAGCAGCATGGCGCAGGCTCTGGCGTGGCTCTCCAATGCCACCAGATGCAGGGAGCTCAGGCCCCCGGCATTGTGGCAGTTCCCGTCCAGCCCCTGGCACAGCAGTGTGCCAACCACCGCCGCGCTGCCCTGCACTGCCACCACCCCCAGCACCATCCACCCCTCAGTGTCCACCTGGTCCATGGCAGCCCCCCAGAAAAGCAGGGTGCAGAACACCACCCCATGGCCCATGGTGGTGGCTGCCAGCAGTGCCGTGCACCCAGCCCCATCTGCCTCGTCCATGTCAGTGCCACCCTCCAGCAGTAGCTCCACCAGCTCGGCACGGCCCTCATAGGCGGCTGCCAGCAGTGGGGTGAGACCATCGCAGTCGTGCTGCCCCACACAGGTACCACGCTCCAGCAGCAGCATCACCACCTTATAGTAGTCCTGGCCAGCCAGCACGCAGAGGGCAGCCACCGAGAGGCTGGTGCACCCGTTGGCATTGGCATGGTTGGGGTCAGCGCCATGGGCCAGCAGCCGCTCCATGACAGGGCAGTGGCCCATGTAAGCAGTGGCAATGAGAGGGGTCTGGCCCTCGGTGTTCAAACAGTCCACTCGAGCACTGTGCCGCAGCAGCCTCTGGATGATGTCCTCATGGCCACCCCAGGCATCCGCCCACAGTGCCGTCCAGCCCTCGGCATCTGCCCCATCCACCTCCGTGCCCACCCACAGCAGCGTGGCCATGGCCTCGGCATGCCCACCCCAGGCGGCCGAGCGCAGAGCAGTCCAGCGCTCCTGGTCTGGCTGGTTGACACTGGCACCATGGGCCAGCAGGCACTGCAGCACCTTGGCGTGGCCCTGCCGGGCAGTCAGCATCAGGGGCATCTGCCCGCCAGGGTCAGCCACCTCCACCTCCGTGCCCCACGCCAGCAGCAGCCTGGCCATGTCATGGTGGCCACCCTGTGCCGCACCAGCCAGCAGTGTCCACCCGCCGGTGTCCCGCTGGTTGGCGCTGGTCTCGCTCTCCAGCAGCACCCGCACTGCATCAGCGTGCTCCAGCGCCTGCTGCAGCACCCTGGAGGAGAGTGCCGGTCTGGCCCCGCTGCCCCCTGTTCCCAGCCCGCCCACCCTGGCCCCTGCCAGCAGCAGCAGCTGCGGCACCTTGGGCTCTGGCAGGCTGGCCTACAGCAAGTGCTGGGCCAGGCCCTGCGCCTTGCTGGGGGCCAGCTGGGGCAGCTGGGCCGTAGCGCTGAGTGTCAGTATATGGCGTGGCCCTCGGCCGCGCTGCAGAGGAACTGCTGCATGCAGTGCTTGATGTCCAGCAGCCACTCGGCAAAGCTGGCGTGGAAGAGCAGCCTGGTGCTGCTGGGGCCCTTGGCCAGCAGTGTGCACAGCGCCGCCAGCAGCCCCTGGAAGTCCTCCCAGGCGCGGCCGGTGGCAGGGTTGGTGTGGTGCGCCCAGAGCACCCAGTGCAGCTCCTCAGGGCGCAGGGGCCAGGGGCAGCCAGCAGCACGTGGAGCAGCGGGTGGGCATGGGCAAAGCGTGGTGGTGGGAGGAGGCGCTGGCACTGCCAGAGGTGGAGACTGTGGAGGGTGCTGGGGATGTGCCACACCTCGCACAGCACCACGGTGCCGGCAGCCACGTCATCCGGCACCCACTCCAGGTAGAGGAAGCAGCTGTTGCTCTTGACGTGCAGCTGGTTCAGCATCTCAGCTGTCCCGTGTGTCGGGTGCTGGCGCGGGGCAGGCTCGCGGTCCAGCTGGAGCAGGATGTACTGCTGCACGTCCCACACCACAGCCGCCTTCCGCAGGTCATCCAGGCACAGGAGGTGGAAGCCTGGGGGGATGCAGGATGAGACACACCCCCCCACACACACCTCACTGTGCCCCAGCCCCACTGCCTGCCCTCCTGTGCCCCCAATCCCACCACCCACCCACCCTGCAGCCCCCATCCCATCTGCCAGCCCCCAGCCCCAGTACCTGCAGCCCCCCCACCTACCCACCCAACAGCCAACAGCCCTCTGCCTGCCTTCCAGCCCCCTGCTCCGCAGCCCCTACACACCAGGGAAGGTTGTGGACAGCACCTTGCTGTACCGGCAGGCACGAGAAGGACAGCAGCAGATGGTGCCGGGCCAGCAGCTCTGCGATGGTGTTGCTGCACCCTGACGGCTTCCCCTCACCCTCGGCTGCCAGCCCCTCCTCGTCTAGCGCATCCACCAGCAGCAGCAAGGGCTGGGCCGGGGGGGGGAGCAGGTCCAGCAGCAGCAGCAGCACGGCCCAGGAGGGGCGCAGGGGGCGTGAGGCCGTGCCGGCACCCTGGCCCCGTGCCAGGGCTCTGAGCACCACGGCGTGCCACATGCATGTGGGAACCCCCCGGCCGGTGCGGGTGTCTGGCCACCCCTCACCTCTTGAAGGCCTCATCAGGGTCCCGCTCACACTCGGGGGGCTGAAGGGCAGCCTGTGCCGGGGGCCAGCGCAGTGCCTGGCAGTACCCCTGCTCCAGCTGCTGCAGCAGCCCCGCCATGAAGTGCAGCGGTGAGAGCGTGTCAGTGTCCTGCGTCCGGCAAAAGTGCCAGCCCAGCACCTGGGTGCCCAGCCGGGCCCGGCGGCCGGCCACCGAGGTGGGCTAGGGCAGCTCGGTGCCGAGTGCTGTCTTGCTGCAGCTGGGGCCGCTGGTCAGCAGCATGCCGCCCGCTGCCCCGCACCCCAGCCGCCGCCGCAGCCACCACAGGGCCCACTCCCGGCTGGGGAAGGGCCTGCCCTGCAGCCAGCCGCCCACCCCCCCCT